GAGCGGGGGCCGGGGGGTCAAAAGGGGGCGTGAGACCTGAGCCGCTCGCACGCCGGGCGCACTGCGGGGTTTCGGTGAGCAGCTGCAGCCCGCAGGCGCCCGAAGCACCGCAGCCGATCGCACCTTCATCCAGGCCTGCTGGATGTTCTCTGCGGTGCGGGCAGACGCCGCGGGGCGGGGAGTGCGCAGGCGGGGCGTTTCGGCGTTGTGGGGGCAGATTCTCATATCCCATGGGGTCTGGAAAGATCTGTTCGGGGGCAGCCCAGGGGGCACAGCCACGACGCGCCGTTGCCAGCGCCGGGCGCCTGCCAAACAGCGGCTTTCGCATCGGCGGCGAATAGGCCGACATGGCAGGCCGTCGCCCGCATAGCTGGCGTGCGCGCGCGGGGCCGGGACGCAACGGGGCCGTGAACATGTGTGGGAGCGCTGACGGGGGTGGCGCTGTGGGGTCAAGGCGGGGCGCGTGCGCCGCGCGGCACGCACCCTCGTCCATCGCAAGGATCTGCTGGGTGAAGTACTTGGCTGCAACGTTTGAGTCGCCGTCCACGTCATCTGGGGCGCCATGCTCCGACTCCGCCGCCTTGCGCGCCGCCTCCGTCGAAAGGCCGGCGGAGAGCTGGGAGGGAAACAACGGGGCGCAGAGGACAAATTAGGCACATGCGCCCTGTGACAAAGACACTTCAGGCATACAAGGAAACCATGAAAGTGTCCGGAGGTTGAAACGCCCGCCGCAAGTGGCGGGGCGCGCCCACATGCTCGTGCTGGGCGTGCTGGGTCACCTGGTGTGTAGCAACATGGGCGGGGAGGCCACCCACGGCACCCCCTGCACGTGACCCTGTCTTCCAACGCACACAATTGAAAAACATCAACTCACCAGCGCGTCCAGGTAGGACTCGACCCAGTTGTTCATGTGAGCGTGCAGCGCCTATGATGCGGATCTCTCAGCGTTCAGTGTCCGGGCTATGCTAACAGGTGAGAACACGTCTTCTAAAGGTTTCAACACAAATGATGCGCGGCGTGTGGCGAGGAGAGCTCAAAACAAAACGTGACGTTGCTTTTACGCAGCGCCATGGCAAGCTAGAAGTCTTGAGCAAACGGGAAGAAATGCAAGTCCGTGCAGCGCAGTTGGGAATCAACTGCCTTGTCCCCCGACTGCTTCCGACTCTCCTCCGTCGCACCGGGTGACTCCCTTTCTCGTGAGCCGGTGGGATCCGCAGAGCGAGAATAGATCAGATCGGTGTATTAACGAGGGGCGAGGCTGATCCGGGGGTGCTCCAATGTGTAGGCGTGACACGTCTGATCGTGTGCAGCCCGTATGCCAGTTCCAGGCGGCCTGGCGTTTGGATAGGCATATACGTCTCGAAAAATTCTTGTCATAGGCGTGCAGTGGGTTTAGCATAGGGGCACGGCATCCTTGCGAGCTAGACCATCCCGAGGATGCTCACTGCTTGCACACCCAACCCAATCAGTCATGCTGAGCGGTCTGAGAGTCTGACTCTCCGACATGGCCCCCAGCTCCCCGCCCCCGTCCTGCAGCAACCCAGAGCCATATCATTTACACACCCTCATCCGTGCTCGCAGCACGCTGCAAAGTAGGCCGGCACGGCCCAAGGCGCCCGCAAACCGCGCGCACGTCAGCAGCGCACCCCCCAGCGCCGCGCGCCGAGCTCGCGCGCACTTGGGCGCCGCCTGGCGCCGCCGCCGCCGCCGCAGTGGCCGCCCCCGCCGCGGCGCCTGCCTCGGGCGTCACTTTTCTTCAAGCACGCGCGTGATGATCCCCACCGCGAGCGTGTGCCCGCCGTCGCGCAGCGCGACGCGCCCGAGGCCCCGCAGCTCTGAAAACTCCTCCACCACCACCGGCCGCGCGGGGCAGATCTCGACCAGGGCCGTCTGCGAGGCGGGTGCCAGAGAGCTTGGGTCTGTTACGAGGGGATGAGAAACGGGGACGCGGGCGCCGAACGAGAGCGGGAACGGGGCTGCGTTTCGGGGAGGGATGCGGCCGCCGCACCGCGCGGCCCAAACCACGTATGCGCGCCGGCGGCAGCGCCGCCGGGGGCGCGCGCGCCGGGTCAAAGTAACAGGCGCCTCGCCGCTTCTCAGTGCAGGGCGGCGCGGCGCTCCTCTCCTGCGAGCACCTCATCATACCCCTCTTTCCCCGCTGGTATTATGAAGCGACCCTGCCTCGGAGCGTCGCGACCCTTCCCCATTCCCCTATTCTTATGTCGCACCCCTCACCCTCAACCCCTCCCACCAAAACCCTATTCTCCCATGCTCGCCGCCTCGATTCCCCGCCGCCGCCC